TTGAACTAAATGACACTACTTGATAAGAGATTCCTCATGGCGCGTTTGTTCAAAGGTTAGTTTTGTTCTTTGAGGTTGGAGGTTTGAACCTCAACTTAAACATATTTTTTGCAAAATATAACATATAGCTTAACATTGGTTAACCAGTTTTAAGCTATATGTTATATTTTGCAAAAATATGCTTGGGTTGAGGTTCAAACCTCCAACCTCAAAAGAACAAAATTAAGTTTTGAACCAACGCGCCAAGAGACATCTATTGTCAAGTAGTGTCCTTTCATCAAGATATCACTTTATGCTTATTATATATATATATATATATCTTTCACAAAATTCCAAGCAAGAAATAGTTAGAAAATGATACAATATGAGATAACAACAAGTTATATAGATTACATAAGAACATTGAGTAACGTTTAATGCAGTCGAAAAGATGTAAAAAAGAAACATAATTAGAGTTGAGGTTCAATATAGAATCAGAGAAATAGGAGGTGTTCTGATGGAATCTCAACTCCAAATCACTCCCTCAAAACAAAGTGCTTACTCTTATCCTTTTTGCTAGACTAATATGACTACCCTAATTAGCGCTGATCATTTGTTAGATTTTTGTTAACTCCCTTGTCTTAGATTGACCTTCTAGCTTAAAACTAAACCAGTGGGTCATGGATATCTCTTACTTATAAAATGTGATAATTAAATTTTTAGCCTTTCTTCTATAATTATTGACCCCGCTTACTGAAAATTCTGCGTACGGGACTGTGAAGGCTGTGAAGACATCAGTTGTACCGCAAGGAAATGAACTGAGCAGATTCAGTGACCCCCCTGGTGATGCTTCCTTGGATGACCTGTTTCATCCATTGGAGAAGAACCTGGAGAATCGCGCTGCTGAAGTGTCTCTCTCTGCATCATCTTCACAAATTGCTCAAAACAATGCAATTGCCGAAACTGGAAAGAACGATTTGGCAACAAAGTTGAGAGCCACAATTGCTAAGAAACAAATGGAAAGTGAATCAGGACCACCAAATGGTGGTGATTTACTCAGTATCATGATGGGTGTGTTGAAGGAGGATGTAATAGACATGGATGGTTTAGTATGTGTGCTTATTCGTTTTTGCTTGATTTATGTATATTTTGTTTTACCTCACCGTCTTTCTCCCTTATTTTCTTATTTCTTTCTTTTTTGGATGCTTTTTCAGGGTTTTGATGATAAACTGCCGACAGAAAATTTGTTTCACCTTCAGGTACTATTAGACTAGTTTTCTTGACTTATTTTTGTGATGATGCCTTGATCTTTGATTTTATGAAAAGGTAAGGTAAATTTTATAAATGATTTCAGCACAGAGACTGCTGTTTTATCTGTTCTATATATCAGCAGGGCAACACCAAAAAAAAATAATTCAGCCTCAGCTATCCCTTTAGTGATTCTAAAACCTGTAGCACTTTTCACCCTCATTTACATATTCTAGTCCACACCAAAATCCAAACACAAATATACAATTTAGACTTATCTTGTGAATGGAGTTGACACTATCTTCAAAGCATTTTCTATTTCTCTCATTCCATATAATCCTCCATAATGCCATATGTAAGCAGGTATAGTATTTTCAACCAAAGAAAATTTCCTCTTCCTATCTCCCTTTCTGTACCAACCTCTCAAAAGGTCATCTGTTTTGCATTTCATATTCATAAAGAAATGCCACAATTGTGCAGTAACATGACAATGCAAAAACAAATGACATATACTCTCTGTTTGACTTTCACAGAGAAAACATTTGCTACTTAGGACAGCGCCCCTCTTTTGCAGATTCTCATGTGTGAATGAGCTTCTTACTCACTATCCATGTGAAGCAACCAACCTTTCTACAGTTTGCAAATTCTCAAAAAAAACTGCAACAGTTTGCAACCCCATTAATGGGATATACATGACTTCTATTCCAATTAATACAGAGTCCAGATATAGCTTGAAAGATCACCAAAATCAAACTTAGATGTTGTAGCTCTACCACCTCAGCATCACACATCACCAATGTGTCATAACTGTTGTTCTGGACTCTAAATCCTCTATTCCAACCATTCTTGTATGCCACAGATAACATTTTGCTAAAGCTCTGCATCACTAGAATGAATTTTTTTTTATAGAGATTGGATCCCCTGTTTAAAACCCCTTTTAGCTGCAAAGAAACCACAGGTGTTCAGTTGACGAGAACTGAATATATGACTCTGCTGAAGAATATCCAGTTCACCCATTTCCTGCCGAAAGGATGCCTTGACCTTTGGTTTGCCTTTGGTGTCACTTTATAGTGTAATTTCAACTATGATAATATTTTTGTTAGGATCTTTCTCATGTCCTTCAACTGGTGCTTATTCGAGTGTTTAATTGATATGATACTAGAAATTGGTAAATGGTTGTTTTGGTAATGAATTTTTTGGTCACTTAGACAAGGAAATGGTAAGTTAGAGGTTAATTGCTATGCTGCTGTAGGTATAAAATAGAACCTTTCTGTGTATAGTTCCTCCATGTCAAGGGTAGTGAAATGGAAAATAGTCATGTCAAGGTTACAAAATAGCAAACAACTTAAGCGACTAATCCTGTATTTCTGTGTAAAATGAAACATACCTTTTGTAAATCTTATAAGATTATTAAGTTAAATTGGCATATATCTATTTGGCATGAGGAATCTTCTTAATGCAATATAGTTTTTATAGTATATTTTCAACACGGGAGAGGTCCTTCCTTTACACTGTGCCAATTGATTCATTTTCTTCATTAAGCTTCCACAAGGCGAAAATTCTATGGAGAAAGGACCCACTCCAAAGTAGACACAAGAGAAAAATCAGATATTCACCAAGATACGGCTTCGCAGAATATGATCGACGAAAGCAGGGGTATGGAATTGCAGGAGAAAGGTGATTGTTTGATGGAGGCAGACGTTGGTTGTGACAAACAAAACATGCAAATCCAGCAAATGCATGATGTTGAACCAGTAGCTTTGAACATCCCTAGAAAAACTAATGGATAGGAGATTGAAGCATCCAACTTGATTAATTCCCACATTTTGGAATTAAGCTCCACCTATGGAATTGCTTTTGAAGGTTTCAGGGAAGAGACTCTTGCCCTATTGATGAGATTGGACGAAAGAAAGTCTGCTTTGGAGAACAAGATAATAGAAGGTACAAGTACAACACCTAGACATCGGGGGATTGGGAAAAATGAACTAAAAAATCTACAATCCAGTCTAAATCAGGATGTGGAGGGATCCAGAACAAAGGGGAGAGTTCTTAACTTGCTTTTAAACGAGGATAAAGCTACTATCATGGAATGTAAGGGGGATTAACAAGATGTCCACTAGGAATATTGTTAAAAGTGCTTTGCTGAAATGGAAGGCAGATATCTACTGTTTCCAAGAAACAAAGTTGAGTAAGGGGAAGGGGGTGAAAGTTGTGGCCTAGTAGATGGATGAGGTGTGGATATATAGAAGCAGATGGGAGTAGGGGTGGAATCCTAATCATGTGGGAATGTAGAATCTGGACATGGAGTACGGTAGAAATTGGCCAATACTCTAGTACTTACAGATTTGATGCAGTACAAAGTGCGTTTACTTGGTTTCTCACTGGTGTGTATGCTCCGTACATCAGGATTGAGAAACTAGACTGTTGGGAAGAGGTGGCAGCAGTCAAAGAATTTCGCGAAGGACCATGGGTAACTTGTGGAGACTTCAACACATTTAGAGTTATGGCAGGAAGGAGAGGATGCAATCGGATCACAAATGTGATGACTGACTTTTCCAACTAGATTGAAGAGATGTAACTACACGACCCTCACCTAAATGGAGGGATTTTCACATGGTTCAGGGGTGCTAATCACCATAGTGCTTCCAAACTAGACAGATTCATGTACTTAATGGAATGGGAGGAAACCTTTAGGAATATCAAACAATTGATCATGCCCAGAGTGACTTCTGACCACTGCCCTATCATGTTGCAATGTGGAGACTGGGACCAGAGGAAGTCATACTTTAAGTTTGAGAATTGGTGGCTCAATGTTGATGGTTTTGAGGGGCTTGTCCATAGTTGGTGGAACGAATTTGAAGTGGAGGGCTGCCCTGACTACAAGCTCAGTGTTAAGCTAAAAATGTTGAACAAAAACTCAAAGATTGGAGCAAATCAGTGTTGGGGAGTTATGCAACTGGAAAGACAGTCTTCTCAATGAATTAGCTGATATTGATCTAGCACAAAACACTAGAACTTTATATGCGGATGAACTACTGGTGAGGGCAACAGTTCTGGTGGAGTTGGAGGATTTGGCAAAAAATGAGGAATCTAGATGGAGGCAAAAGTCCCGAGTTCTCTCGCTAAAACAAGGGGAAAATAACACTAGGTTTTTTTTAGAGAATGGCAACAACCCACAAGAGATACAATAACATTGATAGATTGATAATCAATGGGAAGGTTAATATGATTGAGTTCTACAGGAAATGCTATACTGAATCTGAGATGTGGAGGCTCTCTTTTGAGTATGTTAATCGTCCAAGAATCTCTGAGGAGGAACAAGATTGGCCGCAAAGGCCTTTCATTGAAGAGTGCTAAGATTATCAAGCAATGAGATGGGGATAAGGCCCCTGGGCCTGATGGCTACACCATGAGCTTCTTCAAGGTCCGTTGGGCAACCTTGAAAGAGAATCTGATGCAACCAATTCAAAATTTCCATCAGAATGAAATGTTTGAGAAATCTTTCAATGCCACCTTTATAGCACTAATCCCCAAGAAATATGGAGCAGAAGAACGGAAGGACTTTAGACCAATAAGGCTGATTGGCGGAGTATACAAAATCATAGCCAAACTCCTTATAGAAAGAATGAAGACTGTCATGGGAGAATTGGTAGATGAACACCAAATATTCTTGAAAGGAAGACGGATCATGGATGCAACATTGTTGGCCAATGAATTGGTGGACAATAGGGTGAAATAGAATCTAACTGGAGTCCTATGTAAACTTGATATTGAAAAGGCCTATGATCATGTCAATTGGTCATTCCTTCTAAAAATTCTGAGAGACATGGGCTTTGCGAACAAATGGATAAATTGGATCAAAACATGTATATCTACTGTGAAATTCTCTCTTATCATCAACGGTAGTCTAGATGGTTTCTTTCAATCACAAAGAGGTTTAAGGCAAGGTGATCCAATGTCACCTTTCCAATTTATCTTAGCAATGAAAGGCTTCAGTTCTATGATCAAAAGAGCAAGTGAGAAAGGGTGGATAAAGGGGCTTCCCTGCAAATGCTAATAGGGGAAATACTATGGAAATCACACATCTGTTATATGTAGATGACTCCTTGGTATTCTGTGAAGCTGAAGTAATGCAAATGAGACACTTGAGGGCCATTCTAACCATTTTTGAGGGCATCTCAGGTTTACATGTTAACTGGCATAAGAGTTGCTTGTACCCTATTAACCAAGTTACCAATATGCAGATACTTGCTGTGAACGTAGGATGCCAAATGGATTCCTTACCAACTAAATATCTTGGAATGCCTCTTGTTGCAAAAAATAAAGAGGTGGAAGTATGGAGTGAAGTGTTGGAAAGAAATGAGAGAAAGTTGACAAGATGGAAGAGCCAATACCTATCTATGGGAGGCAGATTAACTCTCATAAAGTCAAAAATGGATGCCCTCCCAACTTACATGATAAGCCTATTCCCAATCCCAGGAAGCATAGAGAAGAAAATCAACAAACTAAGGAGAGTCTTCTTATGGCAAGGGAACAAAGAGAAGCTTGGGTACAACCTAGTCATATGGGATTAGGTGGCCATCAACAAAATAAAAGGGGGTATGGGGATAAAAAAGTTGAAAGTACAGAATGTCAGGTTGTTGAAGAGGTGGCTTTGGAGGTTATGTATTGAAGATTTGACATTATGGAGAGGATTCATATCACATAAATATGGTCTTCAAAATAATAAGGATGGCAAGTTCTCTGTAGGTAGAATTTATAGGAAAGAGGTATACTGGATGCCTAGAATTTATAGGAAAGAGGTATCCTGGATGCCTGAGAACAAAATAGGCCCTTGGAAGCATGTATGGAAAAGTATGGCTCCTACTAAGGTCAAGTACTTTGCTTGGTTAGTAATCAGGAAAGCTTGCCTCACTCATGAGATCCTGCAGAAAAAGGGATTGCCAATTGTTCCAGATGCATGGTATGTAGTGATGCTAGAGAGACAAATAATCATCTGTTCCTCCATTGTAAAGTCACATCTCAGCTTTGGACTATGTTCCTCAGTTTAACAGAGACAAAATGGTCAATGCCAGAGCAGCAGACTTGTTAAGTTGCTGGATTAGGAAAGGGGGAAGGAAGACACAGAAGAAGTGGTGGAGAATAATCCCACACTGTATCTGGTGGACTATCTGGAGGGAGAGGAATGGAAGAAACTTTGAAGATAGATTCAACAACATTCAGAAAATCAAAGAGAGCTGCATATTAACTTTCTACTTTTGGTGTAAAGAACATTGTATAGAAAATGCTGAACAATTAGTAGATCTTTTAGGATTACTGTAATTAGTCTCTTGTTCTAGCTTGTTACTACCTTTTTCGAGGTCTCCAGCATACCTTAATGCTGAGGAATACAACATTACTAGTTTCAAAAAAAAAAACAGGTCCTTTTGGGTGCTCTGTTTGGAAAACTATTAGAAGACTATGGCATCCTTCCCCCCCCCCCCCCCCCAACTACTATCATTCAAAATTGGAGATGGGGTTAAAACTGATTTTTGGAATGAAGAATGGATAGGGGATAGGGACTTGAAAACCTTATTCCCAGATTTATTTATTTTGAGTCTACAACAGATGGCCACAGTGGCACAAGTATGGAGCCCTCAAATGTGGGACCTGATTTTCAGAAGGGCTCTAAATGACTGGGAGAATAGTAGAGTAGCTGGACTGTTGCAGGTGCTGAATCCATTCCCAGGTGTCACAGAAGGACCTGCCAAACCAATATGGAAGTTGCACAACAAAGGGAGTTTCACTGTGAAATCTTGTTACTGGAATATGAACCATAACCGAAGAATGAGAATGGAGTGGCCATGGAAGCTAATTTGGAAGATCAAAATCCCACAAAAGGTGTCATGTTTCTCATGGTTGGTGATCAGAAAAGCATGTTTAACTCACGAAATGTTACAGAGAAGAGGTATACAGATTTGCTCAAGGTGCTATATGTGTGATAAAGAGGCAGAGATTAACGACCACTTATTCCTACACTGCAAAACAACTGTAAATCTGTTGCACATGTTCTTATGTATACTTGGAGTTAGTTGGGTAATGTCAAAAACTTCTTTAGACATGTTGAAACACTGGGAAGGAATGGGAAGGAATGAGCAGAAGAAGAAGATCAAAAGAGGACGGGTGGAAATATATTCTAGCTTGCATCTGGTGGACGCTTTGGAAGGAAAGGAATGAAAGATCCCATGATGGGCAAGCTAGCAACATTCAAAAGATCAAGATGAAGAGTCTGAGTTTGTTGTATTTTTGGTGTAAACAGGATATGGTGGGGTGAGTTTGTGGGGGAGGTAGTAAGTCTAGTGGACTTCATAGGACAATTGTAAAGATTCTTTTTATGGGGTTTTTGGTTATAATGATGGGGGTTGTAAATCCCACCTCATCAGTTTTACCTGATGAATTTTTTGGTGTGAATACAAATTTACCATATCAAAAAAAAAAAAGCTTGGTCTCTTTCTTAGATGTAGAATGATTGCAAATAATGTTTTTTATTTGTTGCTAAAGCTATAGGTTTAACAAACCAGTACTAGGCACACTCTATATTGGAGCATAACTATAATAAATTTTATCACATTCATGAAAATTATATCTTCTGATCTGCTAATGTATAGAGTTGGGGATCGTTTCTTTCTTTTGCAATGAAGGAATCATCTTGATTAGATGGTTCTTCATTCCAATTGAGATTTTTTTTTTTTATGGATTGCTAAAAGGTTTTATTGGAAAGTTTCAAAGTTATTTTCAAATTTTAAAGAATGAAAACAAAGAAGTGGTTGAAGGGAGAGGGAGAAAGTGGACCTAATTGTGGCAGAATAAGGGGGGGAGGGGAGGCTTTTATGCGAAAAAAAGTGCAGTCAATAGCCGGTAATAGGGATTTCTAGTTCGTGCCAGAGAAGTGTAAGATAATTCCACTGTATAATCCTGTTATATCTAGTTTATATGCCTTTCCTATATGCTTTATTTGTGATGACCATAACAAAAAGTTCTGTGTCCTTTTAAGTGATATATGAATTTCTAGACAGAAGATAAATTGAAGCCTGACTCATGGACATTTTGAAACTTATCATATGGGCAGGCTGTAGAATTCAGCAAGTTAGTATCATCTTTAAGAACAGATGAATCAGAAGATGTTATTGTATCAGCTTGTCAGAAGTTAATTGCTTTCTTCCATCAGCGGCCAGACCAGAAACTTGTTTTTGTCACCCAGCACGGTTTGCTTCCTCTGATGGAGTTACTTGAGGTTCCCAAAAATCGTGTATGTCACTATCTTGTGATCATATTGGTGCTTCAGTCTCTATGCACACTCAACAGCTGTAGTTGATTCCTTTCCGGTTAATCGTGGACTTATATGCTTTCAATTTTCAGGTCATGTGTTCAGTGCTGCAGGTACTGAACCTGATTGTTCAAGATAACACAGATTCCCAAGAAAATGCTTGTCTCGTTGGCCTTGTAAGTGTTACTTGCATTTTCTCTTCTGATTGTACTTTGAATATTGGTAAATAAATGTTTAGTAATTCCGAATAATATGGACTGGAAAATATAGTTATATTGATACTGGGGCTAGACCCTTTTTGTCAACTTGTATTCATGTTAAAGATAACACGTATTCCCAAAAAAATGCTTGTCTTGTTGGCCTTGTAGGTGTTACATTTAAACATCTGATTGTACTCTGAATATGATGAAATAAATGTTAAGTAATTCTTAAAAGTTAATACTGCGAACAATAGTCTTCTTAATACTGGGACTAAACCATTTTTCTTAACTTGTCTTTGTGTTTAATTGTTTTGTAGATCCCTGTTGTGATGAGTTTTGCTGCCCCTGATCGTCCCCGGGAAATTCGTATGGAAGCAGCTTACTTCTTTCAGCAGCTATGTCAGTCGAGGTATATATAGAATATGGCTTGGGTTGTTGCATGATGACATGGAAAGTTGTGTACCTTACATTATGATTGATTTCTTTACAGTCCCTTGACGTTGCAAATGTTTATTGCTAACCGTGGAATACCTGTTCTTGTGGGATTTTTAGAAGCTGACTATGCCAAATATAGGTTTGTCTTCTGTACCTTTTGATTAGAGCATTGCTTTTACAGACGAGATGTCATACCTCTGATGTCTTTTTCATTTTAGAGTTTTGACCTTAATGGTTGTACTTCTCTTGTATAATATTTTGATCTACAGTAGTTGCTATCTAATGTGTATATTGGAACTTTGCCTATTGTGGACATTTATATGTCGATTTTGTTCATTGTTGGATTTTTTTTTGCTAATACAAATTAGTTTGGAGTTGATCTGAAGTGTGAAAACAGTTAATTGCTGATATAATTGTGTTGGAGAGGTTAGTAAGTCACCATCACGAAGTGCAAAATTGCTTATGAGATTTCACAAAACTAATTATGAAAGAAAAGAAGAAATTCTGTAAGAAGGGTCATGATCTTGATAGTTCAATCAGGGTCCTCTGTAATTGAAAAAGACCTGAGTTCAGATAGCAGTGTCAGCCTGATTTAAGTGTGGTTGGCATATTGCTGCTAGAGGGGTGATTTTGACAACTGGGTATCTGAGAAAGGGGAAGCTTACTCCTGATGGTGCTTTATGTACAGGGATCTGGGTTAAGATGTCGACCATCTCCATTTACATTAACTTCTAGGTTATGGCGGGAAATACTGAAATGGTTTGGATTAATTTGGGTGATGCCAGGCACTTTGAAAGAGGTTACCTTTAGCTGGAAGGGTGGTAGAGGGAGGAGAAGAAGCATGACATGGATCGTTGCTCACTAGCTCTTATGTGGAACGTGTGGAGAGAAAGAAATAGGATAACTTTTGAAGGGGTAGAGATGTATTTTGTACAGAAGAGGAGTAGCCTCTTATCCTTTTTTCTCCTTTTGGGGTTCACTTGAAGTCCCTCTAAGCATAAATGATTGGGTGATGTTTGTAGAAAACCATTTATTTCTGTAGATTTTCTACTTTTTTGCAGTATATTTGTATACAAGCGTTTTTATGCCAAATGTCAATAAATTTTATTTTTGTATAAAAAAATTGGCATAAAATATAGTCCCAATAAATAGTCCATTTTCAGTTGTCTATTGGTGGGTGTGATTCAACAAGGCAAGGTCGTCTGTGGTATACTTCAAGTTTGAGCAGATATTTTTTGCAGTATACTTGTATACAAGCGTTTTTATGCCAAATGTCAATAACCTTTATTGCTGTATCAAAAAATTGGCATAACATATAGTCCCAATAAATAGTCCATTTTCAGTTGTCTATTGGTGGGTGTGATTCAACAAGGCAAGGTCGTCTGCGGTATTCTTCAAGTATGAGCAGATGATACAATTGTCTGATGTCATATCGAGGATAACCAGTTAGATCTGTGAGAGAGATCTTTGCTACTTTTTGCAGCAGTATCAGGGCCAGACAGACTTAGGTAAAAGTTATATGATTCCAGTTGGGGGACCAAGAAAGTAAGTAGTATGGCAGCATAAGGGGATGCTAGAATGGGTTTCTACCAATCACTTACCTGGATTTTACAATTTGAAAAAAATACAAAAGAAAAGGAAGTTTGAGATGTTGTGGTTCAGACAAAGAGAAACAACTGGCATCATGCACAGACGTGTCTTTTGGAGGAAGGTTAACACTGATTAATAGTGTATTTAGTACCATCCCGATCTATCTCTTATTAATCTACCCCTTTCTGGTGTAAGTGGAGAAGTGATTAGACATGCATGGAAGGTTTCATGAATAATCCAGCTGCTACCGTTCTCAAGGTCTTGAAAACCTAGGACAATAATCTGATGCTTTACTATGGTTGGGAGAAAAGAATGGGAAGTTCACCAGGAAACCTTTCTATCTTCAGTAATGAAAGGAGATGGAGGTATTTGAATCTCCATGGAGATTTATGTGGAAAGCAAAGGTCTCAAAGTGGCTGTCCTTAGCTAGACAGCAACACATGAGGCTGCTCTTTCAATGGACTCTCTGCAGAAGATACTGATAGAACTATGCTGCCGATGTTCCCTTATCTGAGGAGATTTAAATTAGTATACCATTTCCTGGTGCGCAGTGCGCCGTAAAAAGAATACATATGTGTGGACTGTATTCCTGCTGCTAGTGTTGAATTGGTGATGCCACATTTCGGGGAGATTTGGAAGAAACATAAGTGTTTCAAAGGAGAGAAAGCCGATCATGCACAACCAGAAAGCA